TTTTTTTGTAAAAAGATTAAATCTAAAATGAATTGAATGCAAAAACATATAAGAATAATACTTTTACTATTGTTCTACCTTAGAACAATTAAAAAACAAAAATTTTGAAAATTACTTTTTTCATCTATACCTCCTTTAATTGTTTAACTTTATTTTATTATACTCTAATATCAACGTCCGATATGTTCTTCTGTTTAAAAGCTGCACAAATGTATGCAAAGAAAACACAAATTGGCACATTGTATGTCATGGACTGAATATGAACAGGAATAAAGGCAATGTAACACAAATCTATCAATGGCCTCCAAGTGCAATGAAATAATAAAATGTACAATTTTAAATTACTTAACCATGTGGACATGTTGGAAACTTTGATATAAATTATAAGAAAAATGTCCCCTAAATACTGAAATTCAGCTCGAAAAAGTTTGTACGCGTTATGACCTGAGATTTCATTCTTCTATGCAGGTCATCACCTGCATTTTCATTGTCATAGGTTGACAGGTATGCATACAACCAATTTCAAGTTCTTTGACTTCATTTATTCTGTGTCAGAAACCTAGAATGTGTCAAATATTTAATAACAATCCAAATTCAGACCTGTAACAAGCTTGAATATTGTGTCCATTTTTGCCCCAACTGTTCAGGGTTGGACCTCTGCGGTCGTATCCAGCTGCGCTCAGCGAAGCAGTTTATTTTGTATGCAGAGTTATATAAAAGTCCTCTCAAGAAGCAGAAATGGATTAAGAGGAGGGCTAATTAGGCCTGAATCAACGGGTTAATGCAATTAGAATAAAAGTAAAATGTGTGACCCACTTTCTTTTGAACACCCTTTCCTTTACATGTATGTCTATGGTTATTCTGTCAACAGAAAAGGTTTAAACATGTTAAAAGGAAGTAGTTCTTTCTAATTGTGTTTACAGTGCTCTTTAAATTACATAAATTGGTAGGTTTTCAAGATCTGAATGGTCCAGGGGTTCAAATTTACTTTAGGCAATGGAAGGTCTAGGACCTTTCACCAAAATACTTAAAGGTCCTCCTTTATTCTTTAGGAGGTCCAATTTTTATTGAAAATTCAATTTATAAAAAAATAGAAAATGCTTACCATTCCAAAGCACTCATCATATCTTACTATATTAACCTCATTTTGTTCTGAATTTCATTAATAAATTCAGTCAGAAAAAGGCTTTACGCTGTGTTAAATAACACTTTGTACCTTTTAAATTGATTTGGTTTCAATTGCTGCGTTAGAACACACTGGCCTAATTGTGTGTCAGATAACAGGTTAGTTTTCAAACTTGGCAGTGATATTGTTGTCTTTTTTCAAAACTACCTCTACCGTTTTTTATTGGGAAAAATGCATATTTTTTATTGAAATTGGGAAATTTGTATATTTTATTCTAAACACATTTCCGATTTTTTGCCGACCTTTGCAGTCTTTTTTGCACTGTTTTTTCATGTATATTTTGGTTGTCAGACATTTTCAACCCGAAAGGTACTTTTCTAAGAGGGGAAAGAAACAAAAGCAATGATGGTACTTAATGCATTGAAAACCACATGTGTACAAACACCATGATGATTCTGATCAGAAAACCGGATCTCAAAAGTGCTTTCTAATATCAAAATAATAACATGAATACGATATTTACAATCATTACTACCAATGCCATCACTGTTTGGGGAAAATGTAAAACTTTTTGGGAGGAATTTTAAGCCATTTTTTTTAGTAATTGGGAATTTTCTCTAGGGGAAAAAGCCGAATTTCGGCTGTAATTTGAGGCAAACAATATCACTGCTTGGGGTCAGTGTCTTTTAACCACATCCTCATGCACATATTTTGGCAAGATATAATCATGATAATAGATGCCGGGAGGACATTTTTCATTTTTTATGGGGTAAAGTTTTAAAATTTGGTCCAACGAACCAGGGCACTTTCCTTTTCACTGTGTGTGGGAAAAATCTTTGTTCACGTTTTTCCCTGTCATATATTTAGTCTTTAGTCAGATCCTGTCTTTGGGCTGCATTAAGCCGTTTCAACAATCACACCCGCTGTATCACCCGTTTCATCAAGGTTTCTTTTGGAAGAGGTAATCCTAAAACCAAACAGACTCATACCGTGTACTAGTAATGTTCTAATATTATATTCTCCAGTTTCCCAGTATCTTGTATGATGACCGGTCACGTGACTACACATCAAATCAATTGTGAAGAAATTAAATTTAAGCAATCACATATAAGTTTCCTTTCAGTATACATTTGTAGTTGCATATTATAAGATTATTTTTAATCTAGATTTTTATTTTTTTGTTCAAAATGCTTTTGTAATTTTTATACGACCGCAAAAAATTTTGCGGTCAAATATTGGTATCACGTCGTCGTCATCGTCAGCCTCGTACGAAGACATTTGGTTTTCGCACAATAACTTTAGTATATGTAAATAGAAATCTATGAAATTTAAACTTAAGGTTTATAACCACAAAAGGAAGGTTGGCATTGATTTTGGGGGTTATAGTCCCAACAATTTAGGAATAAGGGGCCCAAATAAGCATTTTTCTAGTTTCATGACAATAACTTGTGGAACAGTGTATGGATCTCTCTGAAATTATACCACAAGTTTCCATACCACAAAGGGATGGTTAGGATTGGCTTTGGGGGGAAATGGCTCAAACCGTTTAGGAATTTAGGGGCAAAAAAGTGAGAAAAAACAAGGGTGTCCTGGTTAATGGACAATACTTAAGTACAAATTACAGTGGAAGGGAGGTAATTCAAACACAACTTTGAATTACCTCCCTTACACTGCTTTTAAATTATGTAAAAAGAAATGTTGTATTGTCTTGAGGTGATTAGCTGTCAATTCATTTTCAGAAGTTACTATTTTAATAATTTTAAAAATGCTGATTAAGGTAAATTAATTTTAGCTATGATTATGTACATGTATGTCATTTTCTATTTTAAGACTTTTATGATGCATTTAAATGGGTTATTATGGTTGCAAACTCCATTGGAAATTTGAATTGAGATTATGACCATGTCTTGAGGGAAAGAATTTTTTTTCGGAAAAAGGGTGGGGGGTGAGGTTTAAAAAAATTGGGATGTGGGGGTGGACAATAGATTTCAGAAATTAAAAAGAAAATTTCTTCAAATATTTTTTTTTTTTAAAAAGGGGGGAAGGGTAAAAAAAAAAATTTTGAACAAGGAGGGGGGTCAATTCACAACAGCATAGTGTATTGCACAAAAGCAAAAGATGGAATATAAATTCAAATCATATAACCAATTCTAAGTTCTTTGACTACAGTTATTTTGTGTCAGAAACCTATTATGTGTCAAATATTGAATTACAATCCAAATTCAGACCTGTATCAAGCGCGAAAATCATGTCCTTTTTTGTCCCAACTGTTCAGGGTTGGACCTCTGTGGTCGTATCCAGCTGCGCTCAGCGAAGCAATTTATTTTAACCTGCAGAAGTTAGAAAGTCTGCTAGGTGTAACTAACAGTGGTCTCGTTAGCCCAAAATAGAAGGGTGCCGCAGGCTGTGAACCACTTGTGACTTTCAGAAAATATCACTATCAGTGCTCAACAATAGAGGTGAAATGAAGACTGCATCCCTTGTACGTCAATAATGATAAACCATGCCTGTACTGTAGTACTGACTACTGAGCTGGTGATACCCTCTGGGCGATCAACCTATTGCTATGAAAAATGAAAATAATACTTTATAGATTTAAACATGCTAAATGGATTAACCTTCATCAGGAACGCTCAAATTCAGATATTTTAAAGCCAAGGATGTATAAGAACCGAAACATTTGAAGAGCCATATCATATGACCAAAAGGGACCTAAACATAATAGACAAATCCATCTAAGGTCAACTTTGAAATTTGTGAATTATTTTTGTGAAACAAATTATATTTAATATATTTTTACAAACGAAAGTGAACCAACGCCTGGTGAGTCTGTAGTGAGTTAGAGTCCCTGAAGTGGATACCTCGGGTATGCAGGGTCGTTATGATGAAACACAATAATGTAGAAAGTCTTATAACAACAACACTGGAGGGACTGCTGCAGAAAATTTATTGATCGACATGTTTCGGTGCCTAGGGCACCGTCATCAGGACCTTTTTTTTGTTTTGAAATTTATATCCTTTATATATCATGTATATATTTGTAAATATACAAGTTATAGATTACCTATAATGTAAAATATTGTTAATATACAAGTATATATATTTCTAAATTTAGAAATTTCAAATTTTATTTTAAAACAGGAGGTCATCATGGTCATACATGAATATATAAAAAATGTACTTTGTTTGCTATTGCAATATGAAATTTGATTAACTTTTGAGTAAATTGATCCATTAATTCCTTAATTCCTTTTCATGTTTAGTAGTTTAGTTGTTTAACCAAAATGTGTAGGTCCTATTTAATTGTTTATGTGTTCAAGTCAATAGCAAATTCAAACTGAAATATTTTTTTAATTATTTGTTAATGCTGGCCTTATCTGTTTACAAGTAGTCTTGTCTGACATGTTAAGTATTTTTTTAGAACTACTGTGACATCCTCTGAAAAATGGTGGCCAAGGAATTATTTGAATCTGGAATAATTTTGAATTCTGGAAAATTGAGAAGAAATGTATGATGAAAACTAACTAATAAAGTAAAAAAATGAATTGAAATGTTTCTTTGATCCTATGACAGTATGAAATGAAAATACAAAGAATAAGGATGGGCAAATGTAAATATAAACAACTCTTTGTCACAGTCAGAGTGGAATATCACATAAACAAAGCCAAGGTACATTTGTTACACAAACCCCTTTAAAAAGACTGGTTGAACTCTGGTGTTCATAGCTGCTTAGTGTCCAATAGATCCCAACTCCTTATTTTTGCAAAATAAAAAAAAAAAAAATATGTGTGTTTGATATATTGTGCATGACCACCATGAGTCAGAAGCTTTTTTGTTCAGGTTACATTACATTACAATATTTATTTCATTTCAGGTTAAAGGCTACCAAAATGGCTGCCGGGGGTATGGAGCCAATGGATTTAGAAGGCAACCCCTCCCCTATTGATGAACAGGACAGTAAATATGGCTGCCTTGCTAACTTTAAAATAGATAAAAAGATAGGGAAGGGACAGTTTTCTGAAGTATATAGAGCTATTAATAAAATAGATGGCAGTGTTGTAGCCTTGAAGAAAGTTCAGGTGAATATTGATAAATTGTAGAATTGCAACTTATTTTACATGTTTTACAAAATATCTTATGAGAAAAATACTTGAACAGTTTAGTAGTAATATTTTTTTGTGAAAAGAGCCCCTCGTGATTAAATTGTTAGTCATGTTAGTAGATAAGAATAGAGAATGAAAACAGGGAATGTGTCAAAGGTACAATAACCATGACAACCCGACCAAAGAGCAGAAAACAGCCCAGTATTGTATTGATGTTGAATATGAAAATAAGAAAATATGGTATGATTGCCTATGAGACGGCTATCCACCTGTTTCCAAATGGTGTGAATGTAATCAAATATAGGTTGACCACTGTATGAACCTTCAACAGTGAGCAATACCTATACAGTATAGTCAGCTGTGAAAGACTAAACACGAGATTTTAAACTAATAAAAATACTCATTTTAGTTTGATTTCTTCCATGCAGACTGCATCATATATATGAACTGCATATTTTAGATTCCTAAGTGCAATTTATTTGGTAATACATGTACCAAAGTATACATGTGGTTGAACAGTTAAAGTTTTAATGTATATGCAGAATTTACATTAAAACTGTTAAACCTATATATTTCAGATATTTGAAATGATGGATGCCAAAGCAAGACAGGACTGTATAAAAGAAATAGGTCTTTTAAAGGTAACATCAGTTTGTTTCTGTAAATGAACAAAAGGAGATGTGGGGAATCTGAGATAACAACACAAATAACCAAAAGTCATCTCAGAGTATTCCTGTTCATATTATTGTTGTGACATTCAACTCAAATTATAATGGATGGTTTAATTTTGGGAAAACACCAAGTTTATAAAGTGCTATCTTCATTATCATTAAACTATGGCAATAGATTGTCCCTAAATGTTTAATTATTACAGTCCTACTTTATAATGTGTTGTAAATCTGATTGACAATGGATAGCAATGTGATCTATGAATAATTTAATTCTCGTTAAGGATGTATTCTTCATACGTTTCAGTCTCGTTGAAATCTCGTTCTGGAATCATTTCCAAAACATGTGTTACAAGTGGAAAATAGTAATGAGTTTAATTAATATCATAATTAAACTTAACTCTGTGAAAAAATTGTGTATTTACAATAAGTAGTTTTCGAGTAATAAATTTTTCAAAGTTTATTACCAATCAAGTCAATCTTTTTAGCCAAAATTTTGAGAAAACAGGTGAGGGGTACAAGAAATGATTTTACCAGAAACATGTACATCCCATATCACATTTATAACAAAGAAGTTGAAATAATTTGCATTTTGTTCTTAAAACAGAGAAAAATCACAAATTTTCAAAATTGACAGCAAGGTAAATTTGACACGAAAAAGCATCAAAATATGATAAAACTTTCTTATATTAACACCTACCTATAGTTTTTTATGCCCCCGCCGTAGCGGTGGGGGCATTAAGTTTTACCCTTGTCCGTCTGTACGTACGTACGTACGAACGTCCCAAAATTGGTTTCGGTTCTCTAACTTGAGTTTGCCTCAACCAAATGTTATGAAACCTATACACAATGCTTATTACCACAAAACACAGATCAAGTTTGAATTTTGGTGGCGTCACTTTAACCGTTCTAGAGTTATGCTCCTTTATAAACGGAAAAATTGCAAAATTGTTTGTTTCCTTTCTCTAACTTAAGTTTTGCCTCAACCAAATGTTATGAAACTTATACACAATGCTTATTATCACAAAACACAGATCAAGTTTGAATGTTGGTGGCGTCACTTTAACTTTTCTAGAGTTATGCCCCTTTATAAATGGAAAAATTGCAAAATTTTTATTTTCTTCTAAATATCAAGTAATTTTTATAAAAATTGGAGTTATCTTCCTTTGTCCATGATTATAGTTGAATCAACTACAATCAATGCTTTATACAATGCAATGTTTAATTTTGACTTCCACTGATTAAACACAGATCAAGTTGAATTTGGGTATTGTCACTTTAACCATTATTGAGTTATGCCCCTTTATAAATCGAAAGATTGCTAAATTTTTAGTTTCCATTCTGTAACTTAAGTTTGCCCCAACCAAACATTTTGAAAACACACGGCTGATTTTTTTGCACATTATAGGAAAATCATTATATTTTACAATCATGATTGTCGTCGTAAGTGCCCGTGGTCATGATTTTCTAAAATTTGTGTTTTTACAGGGTACCACCAGATACCGTGTTGTACGGGGAATCTTGAACATGAAAAATAAAATTATTGCGTTCTTTGTTGGTAGTTAAAACAGTACCTATTATATAGTTTATATATTAAATATATCATATAATCAAATGTATCATCACAATATTTTTTACTCTGATTTAAGCATTAAGAAACAGTGCATGTGTGTGCCAAATTGCATGCGTGAAATAAAAATCTATTTGAAGAAATTAGCAATCCAAAACACAAATTAAGTCAACATTTTGATATTGATTAAACACGGATTATCTCGTGCCATTAATCATTTTGTTGCTTACACTATTAGGTCATTAACAAGGACAGAGGTCACTCAAAACATTTGTCTTTTTTGCTTGTTGTGTGGTTGTTTTATTTGTTGTGAATAGCGAGCTAACTTTATAGATTGTCACTTTGTTCGGAGAAATCTGTTTTGTGTCTGTTTTTCAAAACTTTAAACTTTTTATTGAATAAATATTTTGTTATAATTGTAGTATAAGAATCAAATCGGTCGGATCGAATCAAAATCCGGAATATGGCACATCAAAAGGCTTGTATGATGTTTCGACCTAAATCCCACTAGGTGGGAACGACAACAAAAATATACCACCGTTTGTGCAACAAAAAACCCGGATACAACAGACAGCAACCAACGGCAACCACTTAATTACAGGCTTCTGATTTTGGACAGTCATATACAGAATTTAGAGGGGTTAAACATGTTTGTGATCCTTCAATCCTCCCCTGACCTGGACAATGGTATAACACAGCATAAGAAAAATCTGCTGAAAAACAGTTTGAAATGGCTTGACTTATCAAATCGGCATGAAGACAAAAAACACAAAGTACCGATATAATAGTACTCGCCGTTAGAGTAGAATATTTTATATTCTGAAGAAAGGGATTCGGGCTGGTGGCGCGAAAATTTATTTTCACTTTTGTACACATTCATATCCTCAACTATCCTGCATTTCATGTTGAAGAGTGTTCATTCTCATCATGTCTTGTGCAAAGTCAATTATTTCAGTTCATACCAGGCCAAGTAATTTATTTTCAAAATTCTCATTCCCTCCCTGTTTTCGAAATCAAATGGGTGTTCCCTTACTGAAAACTAATGAAAGGACGTCATCAATAGTCTGAGAAAAGTATGATCATAAACATCATTACCGTAAAAACTAGCTTTTGTTATAAATCAGGCCGTTAGTTTTTTCCTCAAATGAACTCGTTCATTTTTTTCATAACTGGTCTTTTTATAGCTGACCATACGGTATGACTTTTTCACATTGTTGAAGGCTGAACGGTTGCCTATAATTGCTTGCTTCCACATCTCCTAATTTTTATACGACCGCAAAAAAATTTTGTGGTCGTATATTGGTATGACGTTGGCGTCGTCGTCGTCTGGCGTCGTCGTCCGAAGACACATTGGTTTTCGCACTCTAACTTTAGTTTAAGTGAATGGATCTTTTTGAAATTTGACCATAAGGTTAAATACCACAAAAGGAAGGTTGGGATTGATTTTGGGGGTTAAGGTACCAACAGTTAAGGAATTAGGGGCCAAAAAGGGGCCAAAAATAAGCATTTTCTAGTTTCCAGACAATAACTGGAACGGTGTATGGATCTCTCTGAAATTATACTACAAGTTTCCATACCACAAAGGGATGGTTAGGATTTGCTTTAGGGGGTTATGGCTCAAACCGTTTAGGAATTAGGGGCAAAAAAGGGGGAAAAACAAGGTTGTCCTGGTTAATGGACAAATACTTTAGTACAAAACATAATTTAAAGCAGTGTAAGGGAGATAAATCAAATACATCATTGAAATTATCTCCCTTACACTTCTTTTAAATTATGTATAAAGTAATGGTTAATGAACAATAAAGATAATTTAAAACAGTGTAAGGGAGGTAATCCAAATACAACGTTTTGGTTACTTCCCTTACACTGCTTTTAAATTATGTTTAAAGAAATGCATATTTATAAAGGAAGACCAGTAAAAATATCTGCAAATGTTGCATCTTTTTTTTTTACCAAAAAATCCATATGAATGATTTGACACTATATTTTTAATTCTATTATAAAATAGATTAAGTTAGCACTATGGTAAATTTAAATGGGTAATTATGGTTGCCAACTCCATTGGAAATTTGAATTGAGATTATGACCATATCTTGAGGGAAAGAATTTTTTTAAGGGAAAAAAGGGGGGGGGGGGATAAAAAGAAATTGTAGGGGGCAATTTTTTCTCATTTCAGATTTCAGAAATTAAAAAGAATTATTCCTCAAATATTATTTTTTTTTCAAATTTCAAATATTGAAAAATTTCAAGAAGTAATCTTTAATTGCACAGTATGGCGCATTAGATTTGTAAAATCTTTGATCACATTTATTTATTTGTTATGCCGAATCTAACAGTGTATTTAGATTTTTAATTTTGGGTCCAGTTTTCAAATTGGTCTACATTAAGGTCCAAAGGGTCCAAAATTAAACTTTGTTTGATTTTAGCAAAAATTGAATATATGAGGTTCTTTGATATGCTGAATCTAAACATGTATTTAGATTTTTGATTTTTGGCCCAGTTTTCAAGTTGGTCCAAATTGTGGTCCAAAATTAAACTTTGTTTGATTTCAACAAAAATTGAATATATGGGGTTCTTTGATATGCTGATTCTACCATGTATTTAGATTTTTTATTTGTGAACCCCATTATCAAATTGGTTCATATTGAGGTCAAAAGGGTCCAAAATTAAACTTTGTTTGATTTCATCTAAAATTGAATTACTGGGGTTCTTTGATATTCCAAATCTAACCGTGTATTTAGATTTTTATACGCCCGTTTACGGGACGTATTATGGTATACCCTTGTCCGTCTGTCCGTCCGTCGTCAACATGTCGGACATTAACTCAAAAACGCTTTAACCAATTTGCATAAAACTTTGGTGAATTGTTTATATCTATTGACGTGAGCTCCCTTTCGTTTTTTATGAATTTTAGATTTTACGTTTCCGAGTTATGGGGTTTTTTTCATTAAAAAAAGGGGGGTTTTCCAATTTTCGGACAATAACTCAAGAATGCTTTCACCAACTTGCAAGAAATTGTGGTGAATTGTTTATATCTATTGACATGAGCTCCCTTTTAATTTTTATATAATTTAGATTTTACGTTTCCGAGTTACAGGGTTTTATTCATAAAAAAAGGGGGATTTTCCAGTTTTCCGACAAAAAATCAAAAATGCTATCAGCAGTTCGTATGGAACTTTGGTGAATTGTTAATATCTATTGATGTAAGCTCCGTTTAGAATTTTATAAATTTTACATTTCTGAGTTATGGGGTTTTATTCATTAAAAAAGGGGGGATTTTCCAGTTTTCGGACAATAACTCAAAAATGCTGTCAGCAATTCTCATGAAACTTTGGTGAATTGTTTATATCTATTGATGTAAGCTCCCTTTACATTTTCATAAATTTCTAATATGACATTGAGAATTAATTGAACTTTATTTGTTAACAGTCTGACAACAGATTTACTAAGTATTGCACAATAGCAAGAAATCTTTAATTGAATATAAATTCAATTCACATAACCAATTTCAAGTTCTTTGACTACGTTTATTCAGAAACCTATAATATGTCAAATATTTAATACAATCCAAATTCAGACCTGTATCAAGCTTGAATATTGTGTCCATTTTTGCCCCAACTGTTCAGGGTTGGACCTCTGCGGGCGTATCCAGCTGCGCTCAGCGAAGCAGTTTATTAATTTTGGGTCCTGTTTTTATACGACCGCAAAAAAAATTTTGTGGTCGTATATTGGTATGACGTTGGCGTCGTCGTCGTCGTCCGGCGTCGTCGTCCGAATACGCATTAGTTTTCGCACTCTAACTTTAGTTTAAGTGAATGGATCTCTATGAAATTTTACCTTAAGGTTAAATACCACAAAAGGAAGGTGGGGATTGATTTTGGGGGTTATGGTACCAACAGTTAAGGAAAAAGGGGCCAAAAATAAGCATTTTCTAGTTTCCAGACAATAACTGTGGAACGGTGTATGGATCTCTCTGAAATTATACTACAAGTTTCCATACCACAAAGGGATGGTTAGGATTTGCTTTGGGGGGTTATTGCTCAAACCGTTTAAGAATTAGGGGCAAAAAAGGGGGAAAAACAAGGTTGTCCTGGTTAATGGACAAATACTTAAGTACAAAACATAATTTAAAGCAGTGTAAGGGAGATAAATCAAATACATCATTGAAATTATCTCCCTTACACTGCTTTTAAATTATGTATAAAGTAATGGTTAATGAACAATTAAGATAATTTAAAACAGTGTAAGGGAGGTAATCCAAATACAACGTTTTGGTTACTTCCCTTAAACTGCTTTTAAATTATGTTTAAAGAAATGCATATTTATAAAGGAAGACCAGTAAAAATATCTGCAAATGTTGCATCTTTTTTTTTTACAAAAAAAATCCATATGAAAGATTTGACACTATATTTTAAATTCTATTATAAAATAGATTAATTTAGCACTATGGTAAATTTAAATGGGTAATTATGGTTTCAAATTGGTCTACATTAAGGTCCAAAGGGTCCGAAATTAAACTTTGTTTGATTTTAACAAAAATTGAATATATGGGGTTCTTTGATATGCTGAATCTAAACATGTATTTAGATTTTTGATTTTTTGCCCAGTTTTCAAGTTGGTCCAAATTGGGGTCCAAAATTAAACTTTGTTTGATTTCAACAAAAATTGAATATATGGGGTTCTTTGATATGCTGAATCTAACCATGTATTTAGATTTTTATTTGTGGACCCCGCTATCAAATTGGTTCATATTGAGGTCAAAAGGGTCCAAAATTAAACTTTGTTTGATTTCATCAAAAATTGAATTATTGGGGTTCTTTGATATGCCAAATCTAATCGTGTATTTAGATTTTTAATTTTGGGTCTCGTTTTTTAAATTGGTCTACATTAAGGTCCAAAGGGTCCAAAATTAAACTTAGTTTGATTTTAACAAAAATTGAATTCTTAGGGTTCTTTGATACGCTAAATCTATACATGTGTTTAGATTTTTGATTATGGGCCCAGTTTTCAAGTTGGTCCAAGTTGGGGTCCAAAATTAAACTTTGTTTGATTTCAACAAAAATTGAATATATGGGGTTCTTTGATATGCTGAATCTAAACATGTATTTAGATTTTAGATTTTTGGCCCAGTTTTAAAGTTGGTACAAATTGGGGTCCAAAATTAAACTTCGTTTGATTTCAACAAAAATTAAATATATGGGGTTCTTTGATATGCTGAATCTAACCATGTATTTAGATTTATTATTTGTGGGCCTTGCTATCAAATTGGTTCATATTGAGGTCAAAAGGGTCCAAAATTAAACTTTGTTTGATTTCATCAAAAATTGAATTATTGGGGTTCTTTGATATGCCAAATCTAACCATGTTTTTAGATTTTTAATTTGGGTCCCATTTTTTAAATTGGTCTTCATTGAGGTCCAAAGGGTCCAAAATTAAACTTAGTTTGATTTTATCAAAAATTGAATTCTTGGGGTTCTTTGATATGCTGAATCTAAACATGTGTTTAGATTATTGATTATGGGCCCAGTTTTCAAGTTGGTCCAAGTTGGGGTCCAAAATTAAACTTTTTTTGATTTCAACAAAAATTGAATATATGGGGTTCTTTGATATGCTGAATCTAACCATGAATTTAGATTTTTTATTTGTGGGCCCCGCTATCAAATTGGTTCATATTGAGGTCAAAAGGGTCCAAAATTAAACTTTGTTTGATTTCATCTAAAATTGAATTATTGGGGTTCTTTGATATTCCAAATCTAACCGTGTATTTAGATTTTTAATTTTAAGTCCCGTTTTTTAAATTGGTCTACATTAAGGTCCAAAGGGTCCAAAATTAAACTTAGTTTGATTTTAGCAAAAATTGAATTCTTGGGGTTCTTTGATATGCTGAATCTAAACATGTGTTTAGATTTTTGATTATGGGCCCAGTTTTCAAGTTTGTCCAAGTTGGGGTCCAAAATTAAACTTTGTTTGATTTTAACAAAAATTGAATATATGGGGTTCTTTGATATGCTGAATCTAACCATGTATTTTGATTTTGGACATTGGACCATAATAGGTAAATTAAAAAAATTCAAGTTCTTAGACCACATTCTTTCTGTGTCAGAAACCTATGCTGTGTCAAATATTTAATAACAATCCAAATTCAGAGCTGTATCAAGCTTGAATGTTGTGTCCATACTTGCCCCAACTGTTCAGGGTTCGACCTCTGTGGTCGTATCAAGCTGCGCCCCAGCGAAGCATTTTATTATATTATACAACAAGTATTACATAAAATTAACACTATCAATGTTCCATGTAAATGAGGTAGGGTCAGATGAACTCTGCCACAAAATCACGTACACCTTGTTACCATTCCATACAACAAATATATTTAACCCACTACTATCTGAGCTTTCAACTTAATAGTAGACAATGAAACGTAATAGCTACTACTAGCTTCGGTAATTTTTATACGACCGCAAAAAAATTTTTGTGGTCGTATATTGGTATGACGTTGGCGTCGTCCGAAGACACATTGGTTTTCGCACTCTAACTTTAGTTTAAGTGAATGGATCTCTATGAAATTTTACCACAAGGTTCAATACCACAAAAAGAAGGTTGGGATTGATTTTGGGGGTTATGGTACCAACAGTAAAGGAATTAGGGGCCAAAAAGGGGCCAAAAATATGCATTTTTGTAACTTCCAGACATAACTTGTGTGTTAGTGTATGGATCTCTCTGACATTGTACCACAAGGTTCCATATCACAAAAAGAATGCTGGGATTGATTTAGGGGGTAATTGCCTCAAAATTTTAGGAATTAGGGGCCAAAAAAGGGGCAAAAAACAAGCATTTTTCTAGGTTCATGACAATAACTTGTGTGTAAGTGTATGGATCTTTCTGAAATTGTACTACAAGGTTCCATATATCAAAGGGAAAGCTGGAATTGAGTTTGGGGGTAATTGCCGAAACGTTTAGGAATTGGGGGCCAAAAAGGGGCCAAAAATAAGCATTTTTCTAGTTTCCAGACAATAACTTGTGTTCAAGTGTATGGATCTCTCTGAAATTGTACTGCAAGGTACCATACCACAAAGGGAAGGCAAAGATTGATGAGGGGGGTAATTGCCTCAATATTTTAGGAATAAGGGGCCAAAAAGGGGAAAAAAACAAGCATTTTTCTAGTTTCAGGACAATAACTTGTGTGTAAGTGTATGGATCATTCTGAAATTGTACTACATGGTTCCATATCACAAAGGGAAAGCTGGGTTTGAGTTTGGGGGTAATTGCCCTAAACGTTTAGGAATTTGGGGCCAAAAAGGGGCCAAAAAACACATTTTTCTAGTTTCCAAACAATAACTTGTGTTCAAGTGTATGGATCTCTCTGAAATTGTACTGCAAGGTACCATACCACAAAGGGAAGACTGGGATTGAGTTTGGGGGTGATGAATCATAAGGGTGTTCAAAAAATTGGGGGGGGGGGGGGGATTTTTTTTTTTTTCCTTTTTTTTCTTTTTTTCCTTTTTCTTTTCTTTTAAAATTTACCATTTTAAGTTGGTTATTTCTGATTTATATTTAAAAGCAAATAATAATTATATGGTAGGAGAAACACACCAAACAGGATGTGTAAATTTTTATGTAATAAGTATTGTGCAATAGCAAGAAATTTTCAATTGCACAGTATTGCACAATTGCAAGAAATCTTCAATTGCACAGTATTGCGCAATAGCAAGAAATCTTCAATTGCACAGTATTGCGCAATAGCAAGAAATATCCAATAGTACAATATTGCGCAATAACAAGAAATTGTCAATTGTACAGTATTGCGCAATAGCAAGAAATATTTAATTGCACAGTATTGTGCAAAAGAAGATACTTCGTATAAATTGCTTATTTCTTGACCAATTTCAATGGGGTTTTATTCTTGAATTCTTGGGGTTCTTTAATATGCTGAATCTAACCGTGTATTTAGTTTTTGGATTTTGGGCCCCGTTTTTAAATGGGTTCACTTTGAGGTCCAAAGGGTCCAAAATTAAACTTTGTTTGATTTCATCAAAAATTGAATTATTGGGGTTCTTTGATATGCCGAATCTAACCGTGTATTTAGATTCTTAATTTTTGGTTCCGTTTTCAAATTGGTCTACATTAAGGTCCAAAGGGTCCAAAATAAAACTTAGTTTGATTTTATCAAAAATTGAATTATTGGGGTTCTTTGATATGCCGAATCTAACCGTGTATTTAGATTCTTAATTTTTGGTTCCGTTTTCAAATTGGTCTACATTAAGGTCCAAAGGGTCCAAAATTAAACTTTGTTTGATTTCAACAAAAATTGAATATATGGGGTTCTTTGATATGCTGAATCTAACCATGTATTTAGATTTTTGATTTTTGGGCCCTGTTATCAACTTTGTCCACATTGAGGTCAAAAGGGTTCAAAATTAAACTTTGTTTGATTTCATCAAAAATTGAATTCTTGGGGTTCTTTGATATGCTGAATCTAACCATGTATTTAGATTTTGGATATTGGACCATAATAGGTGAATGTCCAATTTAAAATTTTTAAGTTCTTAGACCACATTCATTCTGTGTCAGAAACCTATGCTGTGTCAAATATTTAATCACAATCCAAATGCAAAGCTGTATCAAGCTTGAATGTTGTGTCCATACTTGCCCCAACTGTTCAGGGTTTGACCTCTGCGGTCGTATCAAGCTGCGCCCTGCAGAGCATTTTATTCTATGTTGTTTCGCTCTTATTAAAATTCTGATCTTTATTAACTCGCGTACTCTTATGTATAAGCTCAAATGAGGATAACGAAATCAGAGATCTATATTTTAATTAGATTGATGTTGTTTACAAGTGTTTGTAAAATACATCGATGCTGTACAAAACTTTCTTTTTGTAGATAATCTTTAACTTCATGTCAATTGTAGGCCAATTTATGTTCGATAAGTTATGTACATTACACTTGATATAAGTGTGCAAGATCGAGTGATTAGCCTGCTGTTTCTAATTCTCATTTTGTTTTCATAACTTGTAACATAAACCCCTCCCCTTTTTCACCGTTTGCAGTTTTTTTTTTTTTAATTTCTGAAAAGCAAATATATACTCAGACCAGCTAATTCAATCAATTCTGCGTTAATATTCATCAGTTTTGGAACTAAGTACTATTTGATGTGCTTCCACGTTCACCAAAAGAGAATTGGATATTTACCCAGAAAATCATGAGAACACCTTCTATCAAAAGACGGAAAAAATAACATTTTGGGAGGGCAACTCATAAATGTTAATACCTAAAAAAACATCTCTAAAGATCACTTGTATCGAATCTTATGTAAAAATTCCGATTTTGGAACTTTTAAGAGGTCAAGGTCACTGTTATTTAACAGCTGAATCAAAATTGTAAATGTGCACCCTATAAGTACAAATGTCAATCTCAAACCATATCTGGCAATAAAATTATCAAATTAGTCCTAAATATAAAAACTTTAGTTATAATCCTTTGAATTATTAAGTCTCCCAAACGAAGTTTGGGAAGACTTATTGGTTTTGCTCAGTTCTTCTTCTTCTTCTTCTTCTTCTTCTTCTTCCGCCGCTTTTAAATTTGAACTTGTCTCTTATTATTATTATTATTCTTCTTCTTCTTCTTCTTCTTCTTCTTCCGCCTCTTTTAAATTTGAACTTGTCCACACCCGTTCTCCAAAACCGCTTGTCAGATTAACTTAAGGTTTCACAATATGTTAGACTAACATGTCTAGTGGTGCAATCAGGGTTTTGTTTGTGCAATGGGGTTTATAAAGGGGTACTTTGAGGGGCAAAAAGAAAGGAGGGTTTTACTATAGAACCCTATGGGATTTTATTTTTAAAATTTTCAAATGATTATAAATTGAAAACCGTTTGTGATAGACACAATCTTTTTAATTGAAAATGTTCTAAATGATAAAGCACATTAAATGAAATACGGGGTTAGTCCCAAGGGGTCACCCCCACCCCCTGCCATTTAAGAAAGTTCTAATATCTTTAAAATGGTTGAGATCCCCACCACTAAACCATATATATTCTGGTTTGTCATGCTAAGATGGTTTGAATGATATACAGGGTTAGTCCCCAGGGGTCATCCCGACCCCCTGCCATTTGAGAAAGTTCTAATATCTTGTAAATGGTCCAGATCCCCACCCCTAAACCATATATATTCTGGTTTGTCATGCTAAGATGTTTTGAATGATATATAGGGTTAGTCCCCAGGGGTCATCCCGACCCCCTGCCATTTGAGAAAGTTCTAATATCTTGTAAATGGTCCAGATCCCCACCCCTAAACCATATATATTCTGGTTTGTCATGATAAAGAACATCAAATGAAATACAGGGTAAGTCCCATGGGGTCACCCCCACCCCCTGCCATTTAAGAAAGTTCTAATATCTTGTAAGTGGTCAAGATCCCCACCCCTAAACCATATATATTCTGGTTTGTAATGCGAAGATGGTTTGAATTGTATACAGGGTTAGTCCCCAGGGGTCACCCCACCCCCTGCCATTTAAGAAAAATCTAATATCTTGTAAGTGGTCAAGATCCCCACCCCTAAACCATATATATATTCTGGTTTGTCATACCAAGATGGTTTGAATGATATACAGGGTTATTCCCCAGGGGTCATCCCGACCCCCTGCCATTTGAGAAAGTTCTTATATCTTGTAAATGGTCGAGATCCCCACCCCTAAACCATATATATTCCTGTTCGTCATGTCTCGAACATATGAATGACATATAGGGTCATTTGGGAAAGTTCTAATATCTTGTAAATGGTCGAGATCCCCACCCCTAAAACCATATATATTCCTGTTTGTCATGTCTCGAACATATGAATGACATATAGGGTCAGTCCCAAGGGGTCCCCCCCACCCCCAATGTTCTAGTATCTTGTAAATGGTCGAGATCCCCACCACTAAACCATATATATTCTGGTTTGTCATGCCAAGATGATTTGAATGATATACAGGGTTAGTCCCCAGGCATCACTAATGCATATAACTTTACTGGACCAAACCAATTTTCACTGGACTTTGTCCAATGTCAGGCGACCCTGGGAATTACGAATTATGGGAGCTTCGTTTGGGAGACTTCGTAACAGCATCCTGTTACAATCATTTCTTGTCAGAATTTATTTTACTATAAACGCAAATATGTAGGGGTGGGCAGCTGTCTAAACGTGACTCTATGTTTTCCTTGAAATTTTAGATTTGACCTTTGACCCAAATTTAAGAAAATCGTGACCACTGTAGACAATGACGACATCAATATTTCGACGAGGCTTGTTCTCCTCTTTCCAATGATATAAAATATAGCCGTGTGTTATTCCGTTAACCCGAATCGATCAAATTTGTTGACTGGGCACCCTACTAATAGATACTACTATATAGATACTACTATATATGATTAAAATCATCTTCTCTTTATTTACAGCAACTGAATCATCCAAATGTGATAAAGTACCTGTCTTCATTTATTGAGAACAATGAGTTGAATATTGTGTTAGAATTGGCTGATGCTGGTGACCTGTCCAGAATGATCAAAGTAAGTTCCAGTAGAATAATGATATTCATATTGTGTTAGAATTGGCTGACACTGGTGACCTGTCCAGAATGAGAAAAGTAAGTTCTAGTAGAATAAAGTTCTAAAGTTATCTAAGAATGTACAAAGGACTGTCAGAAAAGAAATTATAACTTGCACACCTTTGAAGCATATTGTCATCACTTTCTGATTAACACAAAGTGTTTGTAATGATTGTAGTAAGAATTCAAACCTAAAGAATGTGTACAAAATATTCAGTAATGATTATATACATATAGTTAAGTAGGCAAGACATTTCAATTTGACCTCTCTTGCTTTTTATTATTACAAAAGAACCCATTGAGTTCTTTCAATGATTATATGTATTTTTTGTTATTTCAGCATTTTAAGAAACAGAACAGATTAATTCCAGAGAAATCTATATGGAAATACTTTATACAGATCTGTAGTGCTTTAGAACATATGCATTCCAAGAGAATTATGCACAGAGGTCAGTTCTTCAGGGTTTCACACTGCATTTATAACACCATTGAAAGTCTTTGTTGTCTATTGATAGCCAATGGCTCAATGGAATGCTCATCAAATTAGTTTGGTACAAAAAACACTTGTAGATCTTATAACTATTAGAATGAAGTGCTAATATTACAATCAATTCTATTGATCTTCACTCAGATTATCAATTTTCAGTTGTATTTTTAGATGCAGTGTATATATAGATTCTACACCTCCGTCAAGTGTGATACAATATTTCCTCCTTTCGAAGACAGTTGAATTTTTTTATATTTAATTTTAACTGTCCAAAGTTGAAGTTTGTGTGTCCCACTAGACATGGTGGTGGTATCTGTTTCTCTAATGTTTTTACAGGTAAGACATTGTCGAGGCAAATTTCAAAGTTTCCTTTTTAAGTATCTGTTAAAGGATTGAGTTATATTTACAATATATTTTTACACATGGTACAGATATCTGATGGCATATGTTTCTGGAATAATAACTATCCTCTTCTTCAAAATTGAAAGACTTCAGTTCCAAGAAAAAAGTTGCATAGATTTTTTTATACGACCGCAAAAAAATTTTTGGGATCGTATAATGGTATGATGTCGTCGTCGTCTGAAGACACATTGGTTTCCGGACAATAACTTTAGTTTTAGTGAATGGATCTCTATGAAATTTTTTAAGAAGGTTCAGTACCACAAAAGGAAGGTCCAAAAAGGGGCCCAAAACAAGCATTTTTCTAGTTTCAGGATATTAACTTGTGTATAAGTATTTCGATTGCTCTGAAACTGTACCACAATGTTTAATACCACAAGTAGAAGGTTGGGATTCATTTTAGGGGTTATGGGGCCAACAGTTTAGGAATTAAGGGCCAAAAAGGGGCCAAAAACAAGCATTTTTCTAGTTTCCAGACAATAACTTGTGTGTAAGTGTATGGATCTCTCTGACATTGTACCTCAAGGTTCCATATAACAAAGGGAAGGCTGGGATTGAGTTTGGGGTTAATTGCCTCAAACATGTAGGAATTAGGGGCCAAAAAAGGGCCAAACACAAACATTTTTCTAGTTTCCAGACAATAACTTGTGTGTAAGTGTATGGATCTCTCTGAAATTGTACTACAAGGTTCCATACTACAAAGGAAAGGCTGGGATTGAGTTTTGGAGTTATTGCTTCAAGGAGGGGTTTCAAAAAGTTGGGGTGGGGGAATTTTTTAAGGGATTCATATTTTTTTTTCAAAATTTTTAGAATTTCAAATTTTTGAAAAGTTTCAAGAAGAAATCTTTAATTGCACAGTATTGCGCAATGGATTTGTAAGATCTTTGACCACATTTATTTTGTGTCAGAAACCTATATTATGTCGAAAATTTGATCACAATCCAAATTCAAACAGTATCAAGCGTGAATATTGTGTCCAAATTTGCCCCAACTGTTCAGGGTTTTGACCTCTGCGGTCGTATCAGGCTGCGCTCAGCGAAGCATTTTATTGTATCATAAAATTAAAAACCAAAGTAAATACACATACAGAACCAGCAAAGCATGAGTTTCAACATTAGATTTTTTAAATTACAAAAATTTAATATTTACAATCACCGTTTATAAAGTCTGTTTTAAACTTTACCAGAATTTGTTAAAAATTACTGTACATTCAGAACATATTGTGAGGTTTTTATTAATGTGAATAATGCAACTATTTGAGTATCGCAATTATAAGAACTAGCACTGTGTTATCAAATACATGTCTTTGTTTGTATCTTTACTTAAAATCGAAATAATTAAACTCACATTTTAGTTCATTCTTGAAAAATCGCAATAATAAATGCATGTAATAATTTCTGAATTTACAGTACTCAAAGAATGTATGAAAGCAAATATGCAAATGAAATTTTGTTTAATGTGCAAAATAATATAATGGAACAACAATTTTCTTGTCGTTTGTTTATGTGTAATGGTAATTTAACTCTACTTGACTCCATTAAGTAATTTTAACATTTATATCTATTTAGAAGGTTTAAAATTGACATGGTGTTGTGATAAAAACATGTTACCAGTTTCTTTTTGAAAAAAAAAACCGCTAGCATTGTACTTATCTCAAAATTTTCTTTTTCAGATATAAAACCAGCTAATGTATTTATAACTGGTCAAGGTGTGGTCAAGTTGGGAGATCTTGGACTTGGAAGATTTTTTAGCTCAAAGACCACAGCAGCTCATTCCTTGGGTAAGAAATTGTTTTAAATAATGTGTATCAGTTTTATATGACGTATTGCACTTTCAGTTAATGAAAATCTGTGTCCATAGGGCAAACATCTAAGCCTTTAAGTGTCAAAAACCATGGTTCGTTATAGAAATAAGATCTTTGATATTCACCAAAGACTAAGTGATGAGGGTTGTGGTCAATATTATAACTGACAGTTGATATTTTGGGTAAAACTTAAAAAGATTGATTGATTGATATTTGCTTAACATCCAGTGACAAATATTTCATGCATTTTCAGGACGAGAACAAATTAACAATAAATACAATAGGAAAGTCCTGTAATAGAGGCCCTCCGAGATGAAGGTTGGAAAAATTTAGACTGCCACTAGAAAATGAGGGTATATTGGATAGGGACAGAAATTTTGCCTTGCAATAGGCCATCTATGGACCCCTCAAAGATTTGTTGCAAGGGTTCTTAATGTGCAGACAGCATAGCACTCTCTCTACATAAGGCATCAGATTAAACATTTCAATTCTGACCAGACTTGGCTGCATAATTAAACATCCCTAGCAGCCAAATGGACTCTCCACTTTGGCAAGGGTTTTACTGCGGAAAAAGACCAAAGTGACCATATTTCTATTCCCCAGTCACCCTTGGGGATGTTAATGTTGAAAGAATAGAAAGTAAAATATTTATTCTTTGATTTTATGACTTTTAATATAATTACTAGTGAGAAAATCCAGGTTTAATTGTCAGATGTCCTATTTTAAAGAAAATCACTTGAACAATTAGTTACCAGCAGTTAAGTTGTTAAAGAAGCTATATAATTATCAACAGGAGTAAAAACAACATATGCTACACATGAAAGGTGATGTATACACATGCTAGAAGAAATAAAGCTGTTATGTATTATACTATTCTTCACAGATACAGCGATAAGCTCAAGATTACAATTTGAAAATGTGATGGGGTTAAACCAGTTTTACGAGAACACAAACCTCCTGCTTTCCATATCTTGACCATATGTGTTTAAAGTAAAAGACACTGTGTTTGTATAGACAATTCATACTGAGTTAGATTTATTTTTATTACAGTTGGTACTCCCTATTATATGTCTCCAGAGAGAATACATGAGACAGGTTATAATTTCAAGTCCGATATGTGGTCACTTGGATGTTTACTCTACGAGGTAAGATTACGATTAAACTGAAGAAAAAAATCGTTCACCTGCAGTGATTTTGTTATATTCGTCATTTAAGAAACGATTTTCAAAATGATAAAAGTAAAAAAAATATTTGTATGTCAATCTACAATTTTACCTGGTGTCAAATTTAGAACAAATTTACAACCCAAAGATAATCAATGGCCACGACAGGTGTCACAATTTGTTGTTACAGGGTATCTGCCTTACTGATGGGTTGTAATAATCATCATTATTTATTAATTTGTAAATGGAATCGGTCAATCAGGATTTTTGATTTAATCAATTTATCATACCACCACTATTGGCAACGTTTGCCGTAGTTTCATGATACAAACATAATTAATTGAAAGACGAAAACTGTAATGAACTCATAAGAAAACCTCGTTTACTGTGGATTCATTAATTTTCGTTGGATACTAGTTTTCATGGATTTCGTGGGTACAGGAGAACCACGATTTAAATGTTCAACGAATTACAAATTTTCTAAAGGAATGAATGCAGACTTTGCCAAAACCACGAAATTAAATATCCACGAATATGCAAGTTTTCCTAAAACCACGAAAATTGGTACCCACGAAAATAAATGAATCCACAGTATCTTGAAATATGTTTAAATTTTTAAAAACAGTCATGTTTCTGTTTGGTTCTGACTAAAAAATTGCCACCATTTGTATTCATTTCTACTGTGTATAAACCTGCACTGGTAGGAGCAAACTGTTTCAAGTGAGATAACTCAAATTTATCCTTTTCGCAATACTGATAGACCAACTCAAAATCTGTCTCCATCCTTCTATAATTTAGGCTTTGGTCTTTTCAGTCCTGGGGCATAGATGGGATTTTTTTTATATATATGAGCACAATATAACTCCCTATTCCTTATTTTTCTGGTTCTTTTTCTATGTTTTTGTACCCATTATCTTTTTTCTGAAAACGACATCCAGACACTCAGCCTGACATGGCTAAGGACAGGAAACTTAACTCTTACTATTTAGATCTCTGAGGTGTATTCTATATTGACTTGTCTCAGATAAAAAGTGTTAGCAGCTCTATTTTCAGGCAAATAGAAGTTATTTTATGTTAACACTAGTAGCTATTTTATATGTCAAAAATTACTTTTTTAAAGGTGATATGCATCTTTATTAACATAACAGTTTGTTTTGTTTTAATCTGTATTGTTTTATTTATTTGTTTGCTTCTGAAATGCTGAAAAAGAACACATTTAACATGTTTTTGCATGTCATAAAGTCTATATAACAACTGCCATAGAGTTATACTGTTACTCAAAAAAGTTTGGTGACTAAAGCCCTCAGAATCCTAGGTTAAACCTATAAAACCTATATGTTTTCATGAAACAACCTTTTAAATTTTTCACAAAACTGTATTTTAATGATGAGACAATTCTATTCACAAACACTTCTTTTAATTGTTAAAAATTGTAAATTAAATGTTCAAACTATTGTATGTCAGCAAAATGTTTTAAAAAAATCAGTTTGTGTTTATCTCAAGTGAGACTGTGCAGAAAAAATCAGAAAGATTTTGTTTTGGTGATCTCTGGGAAAATTGTATTAATGATTTATAATTATATTGTTTTTTTCAGATGGCAGCTCTTCAGTCACCTTTCTATGGAGACAAGATGAATTTATACTCTTTGTGCAAGAAAATAGACCAATGTGATTATCCCCCCTTGCCATCTGATGTTTATAGTGATGAGGTGAGTTATTTCCCTTTATAGTTTATTACCCTTTGACATTTTTTGTTTGCTAGCCAGTATTCCAGCTTGGATTTCATAAGGGCATGGTGCCAATCCTATAGACATGTATAGAGGACATTTAACCCTTGAAATGATAATATGAAAAGGGCATGTTTTAATTAAGTTATTAATCACACATTGTCTTTATTCATTAAAATACTGGTTATATATATACAAACACAACATGAATACAAATTACATTTCTGAATGATTAGCCCAGATAAAACTTTATCTTTCTTCTTTTGTGCTGAAAAACTTGTCAAGCACCTTGTCACACAAGTTTTCAACGCATTGCTTTTCACAATTTTGTGCTGTGCTTGTCTTTTGACAATCAGACAAATCATAACCCGAATAATTCAGTCCATCCCATTAATTGATCTTTCCTACTTGCGAGGGCCTGAATTCCTAACACGCTAAAAACTTAACCAATCCTGGATTTTGATTGGTACCCTGTAGAAGAGGTGACCAATCAGCAATCAGCTCAATTTTATCGAGATAGGTAAATACCGAGCTAATTCCAAATGATTGATTGAAGATTTTTCATTGTCTATGCATTCAGGCGTTAATGTAGTAATCGTAGATCAGCAGAATATAACGACTGAATTATTCGGGTTAGACAAATCATGGAATCATCAATACTTTGTAACCATGGTCTACCAGACTGCCATATGGAATCAAAACCAGTTCGATGTCCACTGTTTGTTTTCTTCTTTTATTAGGGCTTTCTGTATATTCAGAAGCACTACACTCCAATTTATTTTTAAAGTGATCAACATTTTTTTTTTTGTCTCGCCTGAGAAGAAAGTCGCAGTATGCGAGACATAGGTATTACTATCCGGCAGCTGTGTAAACTATTTGTATAAAGCTTTATATTTCAGAAGGTAGAAGACCTGGATGCTTCATATTTTGTATGCAGATACCTTATGTTACGAAGTTTCCGTCAATCATATGACCATTGTCCTTGACCTCATTTTCATGCTTCAGCGACTGCTTGAAAAAAAAATTGGAGTTTTTTTGTCATGTGAATTTCTCACTTATTCTGAGTAATAGGATAACTATATTTGGTATATGGGTTCCTTGGAGCGTCTTCATGTCTGTCAGACAGTGTTCACCTGACCTCGACCTCATTTCATGGATCAGTGATCAAGGTTAAAGTTACATGATTAAATCTGTTTCTCAAATACTATAAGCATAAGGTCAATTATATTTGGTGTATGGAATGATTGTAATGGGTACATGTCAGTCTGACAGGTTTCATCTGACCTTGACCTCCTTTTCATGGTTTGTTGGTCGATGTTAATTTTTTGTGTTTTGGTCTATTTTTCAAGTACTATAAGCAAAAGGTCAACTTTATTTGGTGTATGGAATAATTGTAAGGTGCACATGTCTGTCTGGCAGGTATAATCTGACCTTGACCTCATTTTCATGGTTCATTGGTCAAGTTAAGTTTTTGTGTTTTGGTCTGTTTTTCAAATAGCATACGCAATAGGTCAACTTTATTTGGTGTATAAAAAAAATCATAAGGGGTTCCCCAGAACCCTGTGTCTCGCCTACGATTGCTGCTGTCAGTGTTTAAGTGTAATGTTGACTTAAAAAGGGAGTCCATTTATCAGTAAAATACAGAATTTTTAAAACAAATCACTTTCTCTTTAGATGCTATTTCTTAGTCTTGAAGGTTAGCTTCTGTCAAATATTCATAACAATCCATGAAGGTTAACAAACTTATCATGTCAAAACAATTTAATCCCAGACTGTCAGTAAATGTTAACTGTAAAAAAAGTCCATCCATCAGAAAAAATACTCACCGTACTTTGACCTATAATGGTTTACTTTTATAAATTTTGACTTGGATGGAGAGTTGTCTCATTGGCACTCATACCACATCTTCTTATATCTATCAAAATGAAAATATATTTTCAAAAGTTTGCTTCAGACGTTATCTCTTAATCCTAAAAAAGTTTCATAAAATTCTATGAAGGTTTGACAAAGTAATGTGTAAAAAACTTTAATCCTAGACTGTATATACTTGTTAATTGTAAAAAAAACTAAGTCCATTTATCAGTAAAATACAGAAAAATGAAAATAATTATTTTCAAAATTTTGCTCTGGATACTGTATTTTGGTCATTGACAAGCTTCTGTCCAAATTTCATATAATTCCATGAAGGTTTGACAAAGTTATTGATGACTGAAAAACTTTAACCTCAGACTGAATCTGAATGTTAAGTGTAAAAAAACTAATTATCAGTAAAATATGGAAAAATGAAAATAAATATTTTTAAAATTTTTCTCCGGATACTGTATTTTGGTCATAAACAAGCTTCTGTCCAAATCTCATAAAATTCCATGTAGGTTTGACAAATTTATTGATGTTTTAAAAAACTTTAACCACAGACTGAACCATAATGTTGATGCCGCCAATGCCAAAGACAGAATCTAGGATCGCTATGTCTCGCTTTTGTGAAATTTACAGGCTCAACAAAAATTATAAGATGTATATGTCTGTCAGACTCAATTTATCTGACCTTGACCTCATTGTCATAGATCTTTAAAAATGTTAAGTTTCTGTAATTCTTTTAGTATTTAACCTTTATCTTAAAGGTTGTCAACATTAACTCAATGGTCAGTAAAGCAGGCAGGACATTTCAGTGTGTGCACTCTTGTTTTTTTATGGACTTTCATTTTCAAAACTTCTATTAGATTTCTGAAAAAAATATTTTTTCTTGTATTTAGAATTTAGAAAGATCGATTTAAAACATCAAAAAGTTTTAAAAAAAAATCTCTTTAAATTATCAAATATTCAAATTAAAATAGCGACTGTTAAAATTAAAAATATATAACATAGCAGACTCATAGCAGTGTTCCAGCTAGGATTTCAAAAGGGCAGGGAGCCAATCATGAAAAAGGCACTTTAGCACGATGATTGATATTTCAAAAAGGGCATGTCAAACATTGTCTTATGTTAACTGCAGGGGTTTCAGCTAGGAGTTTTGAGGGGGTTTTGTCACTTTTACGCTAGATGAAAATCAACCTTATTTTGGGTAACAGTATTAAAGGGACCATGCAAGGACGTATATTACTAGCTCAGTCTATGATATAGTACTAAAAAAGTCAACCAAACTTCTGTTAGTACATTTTGTATATTTAGATTGTTTAATTTCCTCTTGTAAACGTCTTTCATGCTTATGCATTGTGATTGAATTAAGACAAGAAACACAAACCCATAATGTTATATAGATTTTTATTTAATGAGTTCACAGTATTGACAAGGAAGTTTTATTTTATAATGGGGGATGATAACAAAAAGAATAAAATAAAATATAATTGATCTTCAAAAAGGCAGGGCACCATGAAAAAGGGAAAGGGCACCTTGGAAACTGTAAAAAGAGCACAGGGCGCCACTCTAAAAAGGACTAGTGCTGCACCCTCTGAAAACTACTTAGCTGGAGCACTGCTAGCTATCCTCAAGTTTGTTTTCTTCATGTCATCTTTGTTTTCTGCTTGGCTTATCTATTGAAAAAGTCGTATGTATATATGTTGTAATAAGTACAGATTTTTTGTACAAGTTACAATGTATGTGCATTTAGAGAACCCCTTAACACAATTGGAAATAACAAGCATACTGTCTTTGATTTAGCTTTTACAAAAAATAGTCTAATAGATAACACTGATACAAAGTTTATATAACAACATTGTGAGATATATGAGGGTCCAACTCCAGAACCATGTCAGTAGTTGTATTTATTTAAAAATTAATTGTTTCTTTTTTCACTTTTGAGAAATTTGATGGAAGATCTTTAAAAGTGATAGTCTGTGTTAAATGTATTCTTATATGTTTGTTTTAATTCAGGGAAATTTAGAGCTTCACAAATTGTAAAGACACTTGTCTATTGTTCAAGACTGTATGTTGACCTTTAGAGGTCACTGGGGTTTTTGTTTTGTTATTTGATTGCTGTCTCATTGTTGTATACTTCAAATCTTTTGATTTATGAGCACAAATAAAAGTTAATATTTGTTTAATTACAGCTTAGAAATGTGGTAGCCTTATGTATTAACCCAATACCCGACCAGCGTCCAGACATTACATATGTATACAATGTAGCACAGATGATGTATGACCATTACACCCAGCCGGCATTAAATCCATCTCCCGTTGATCAACAACAGTTACAGTTACAACTTCAACAACAACAACAGATGCAACAACAACAGTTTCCACAACAACAGTTACCACAGCAACAGTTGTCACAACAACAACAAATTGAACAACAAAAACAAGTAGCATAAGTGGGTGTTTGTAACAATGTCTGTGATATTTGGAATAAATTATCTTTGAATGATATTGAGAACTTTGAAATCATAAAGGATAATTATATACAATAAGATTAAGAAGCTGAAAGATATTTTTGAACAACAAAATTGAAAAGCATAGGGACAAAATTTGTTTATCTATTTTAATAGGAGTTTTATGTGTAAGATACTTACTCTGTGTATTTATTTCTGTTTTCTATTCAAATCAAAACCTGCTTAGGCCATTTAAATGTTTGTTTCTCAAACCTTCATATTTATTTTGTTGGTTTGGTTCAGGTGTTATTTATTTCTTGGCTTTTATGCTTTTACATGCATGGTGTTCAATTCTTAATGGCAAAAGATGTTTGCCCCTTGGAAATCTTGTTGTTTCAAGACACTCTTTACCTTGTGTTGTTCGGCCACAAGAACTGTTTAGTTAAGTGTGAAATTTATTACTACAAATAACTTGTCAGACTTTATTGTTATGTTCAAGGAAAATAACTATGTAAGTACCATTTTGGTCGAATGTAAAATTTTATGCACAAATTTTCAAAGCAAATAAACAAACAAAAAATGATAAGAAAAATTATTATAGCAGTACATGTATTCCCAAGATCTTTATTGACACAGGCATGGCTTGAGAAACAAACAATTTTTACTGGCCTGATATTTAATTTTTTTTATAAAATCATACAAGGCCTTAGAATTGGACATTGCTTTATTATCACTGTAATTTTCACATCAAGCAAAAAAAAAAACAACATCTGTCTCTTTAGAAGTTTTTAAAAAATGTCTTAGAAGCTTAGAAAGATTTATTTAGTATATATTAAGTAAGGAAATATGCTCATTTAGAATAACAACATTTAGTAGCTTTTGTGATATTGGGATCTTATTGAAGAAGAAAAAACTGTGATTTGTTGTATTAATGTTATACGATTGTAAAATGTCATTTGTGACCTTTGAACTATGTGTGACTCCTGAAAATGGTCAGATAAATATACTGGCAGAGTTATATAAAAGCATCTTGATCTATAAAACCTAGTTTGAATTCATGTTCTATAGGTATTCTTGAATAGAAAACTTCATGTCACATATGAGATTTTGAAATGATTTCAAATATTATTTATAGAGGTTGTTGTGTTGCCAAAAGTTTGTATCCTCTCCCATTATTAGAATTTTATCCCCACCCCACCTAGAGTGTGATTGAATCTGTATCTCATTGTGAGTAGAATTTTATCCCCACCCCTAGAGTGTGATTGAATCTGTTTCTCATTGTGAGTGTGTAGTTGAACTTTCCATTTATCACAATTTTATCTTCATCTAGTGTGTAACATTATAGTGATTATTGTGATTCACTTAATCATTGTTATAAAATTCATAGTCCCTAATTACAGAAGTAGAATTCCATGTTAGGTTCATTGTCCCATGATTTGATGTGTCATTCCAGGAATTTTTTACCCAAGGAATTCCTGGGATCTATCTATATTATCTTTATTTTGATGTAGAAATAATTTTTAAATTTAAGGGAGGTAATTCATGCATTAAACTGTTTACACTTGCTACAGCTCCGATGGATTTTTTTACATTTCCATTTGGCCATGATGGGATGGTTACAGTGTGGGTAATATTCTAGATAGTGCCCATTCTGTTGAATGGACATTCCATTTCTTTTGTTTCGTCATATAACACCTTGGAAAGAAATGGGACAAGCTTTTGTATTCAATATTTTTACAAAAATCTTTTTGTTAAAATTCTGGGCTGCACATTGTTTTGCAGTGGAAAATATGAGATCCACTCGAGCTGTGTAAGTGTTTATTATTCAGTAAAACCAAATAAAAAATCAGTACAAAATAGTGATTTTATAGTCATTGGGTTTTAATTTACCTGCTGGCACATGATTACAACCCTCCCTGTAGGGAAGGACATCTAAAAAGTTAGGAGGTATACTGAAAAGTACATTTATTAACATTTTGAATTTTTTACTTTTAAAAAAAGATTAATTGTAATCAGTTAATAAACCAGCGTCATGGACGAGAATGGTTTATTTTCTTAAATTTTCCTATGATATTTCTGTATGATCCATCTCCCGCTACTCGAGTACTATGGGTTTATCTCAATGGAGTAGAAAAGGAATGAATTATTAGCCTACGTTATTGATGTTGCCAAAGAAAATAGTAATATACAGACTATCAATGATCTTTCAAACTCAAGGCTATCCCCCTTTGGTGAGTTTGTAGCGAGAAACCCCCTCCCATTTTAAGAACCATCAATACTCTAGATCTTTAATTGTATGGTATGGGGAAAATTTTTTAATATGGAAAGTGAAATAGATCTCAAAAATGTGTAAGGAGCCAGTAGTATTATGAGAGGCTTAGACCTCTCACTCCTCTCAGGGTAGAGTCCTAGGCCTATGTCGTGACAAATTACATCCTTAATTCCAGTAAACCTTGTGGTATTCCTGTCCAATCTTGTTCATTGACTGTGCTTGTAAATGTGAGGATGTTAATTAACTAGTCTTATATCATGTTATGTGTGACCAGCCCCTTGATGCCCAGGGAAAAAACATTATCCATGTCTGTCATTCTATTCTATTTATATTCCAAAATCCAACATTTGTCCAACTTTCATTGTATCCTGTAGATATTGAGGGGATTTTTGGTTTATGAGTGTCTGATGGTGAGTGACAAATGAAGTGTGCATATCATTTTGTCTTTCCTCTGGCATGGGACATTTGTTGTATTGATAATTGAATATTGTTGTCATGGTAACTACACTGTTTGACAACAGAAATCATGTTGTAATGTGAGAGTTTGTAACCTTAAGAATGGTTGTCATGGAAACTATATTGTTGCACAAAAAATATGTACCGGTATATATGCATGAGTTACTCCAGTTGAACTCGTGTTTGCTTGTACCACAAATAACAGGCAAATGCTTGGTTACTGCTGGCAACTCCTAACATGGTTGTCATGGTAACTTTATTGTCTTTTAGAAAATTGTTAAGTGATTTATTACTGCTGATAGCTGAAAATAAAAAGAACTCCTTCTATGTAAAAAAAAAAATCAGAATAGTTTCTATGTTAACATATTTATGTTGTGTCACATTGCAGTCTGATAATTAGTTTTCACTCTTTGCTTTGTTTATCAAATGTACTGGTTCAATTATAATACTGGAAGTTTACCTGTTGTGAGTCAGCTGATCGTTGAATGAGTATGTTATATAGTTTATCATTATTGTTGAAATCTTTATTGAAAGACATAGTAATTTATTGATGTTAATTACAATTGACTGTTGTTATATATATGTGTTTATACAAATGTATTAAAATTTATTTCAACAACAAAAAAAACCAATGTAAACAGATTTAATAGTAAAAGATATGCTTAATGTTGTATTAAATGTACACCATTTAGACAGACCCTTATTGAAGTGTAAATATTTTAAAAGAAATTTGTTTTTCTCATATAAGTTTCCCTGTTAATTGGAAACTTGTATATATCTTAGGGAAAACTCTGATAGTATATATTTGTACAATTATTTTATTTTTTCATCCAAACACAAACATAGTTCATTGTTTAAATTTTTTGTGTTCAAGTTTAAAAAAAATCTATATACCTTAATTGTTTAATGAGAAAAAGTAATACCTGGAGAAAAAAGACCTAATTTTATATCAAATTTAATGGATGTAATTTAATACTTTTACTTACACATTTTGAGCATATAAAATATGTTCATATGGCTTCAGTATGATATAAACAGTTTCTACCTAACCATGATCTTGATAAATCATTTTCTATGCATACTTTGTTTGCATCACGTAATTATAATTGTTTTTTGGGGTCCTTTTGGCATTATTTTTACCGATGTACAATATTTGCACGTGCCTGTAGAGCATCTTTACCTGGTTTATTTAACTGATTTCAGAGTGTCTTCTATTTAGCTTTATGCCTATAGGCTAACTTAAATTTTGAACACAGTTTTTAAACTAAGCTTGTTCATGATAAGTTATTTCCATCAGCCCTTGATAAACATTATTGATGTTAAAGCATATCACATCGTCTCTCTTCTAAATCTTACTTGCATAAAACTGTTTTGTGGATCATATTTAAATGTTAGGTGAAGCAATGTCAGAAAAAGGAGTTACATTTTTAGAATTAAAGATGTGATGAAATCCGTCCAGTTTGACTTTTGATAACTTCTACTTTATTATTTTTGCATGAATTTTATCACCTGTGTTTTTGAGATATTTTTCAATCATTTTTCAATCATTTTTATGTGATAAATATAAACCCCATTAATACTATCATTACTGTGAAAATTTGAAATAGAGCTGTTCTTTCTTCTTTTTTCATTTTTAACTCCTGCTATTTTAAACATAGATTTTTTTTCCATCCATTTCATCCTCGTTGAAAAGTTAATTTCATAAAAAAAATAATCATAATCAACACAAGACTTGTGCATATATCAGATACGTTTGAACTTTGACCCTTGGCTTTTTGAAAAAAAATTGTGTTTAAGATTTATTGTCTTAGCCACAACTCCTTCATTACAAAGGACAAATTGACAGAACCATTATGAAATAACTAGTATAAAGAAGCCACACTCTTAAGAATGATCAAATGTTATTCATACTGCATTCTTGTACTCACATGATCAAAGTTTGTTACACATTTTATAACCCACCCCCCTTTTTTCATGTAGGGGACTGATAGCTTCACAATGTGTTTCTTTTTCTTCAGGGCTGAAGATTTATTTTTACATTTTATATTATACTGATCTGCTTTGTTAGAACGACAACGGCTTTAATTAGGCCTGAAAAAGAAAAAAATGCCAATTTAAGTTTTAAAATAATGTCCTATCTAAAAATCTCAACATTTTGTTCACTGATTTGTGATAGTATAATGAAAACCTTTGTTGGAATGGTGTATCTTGCATACACAGCCCTGAATCCAACCCTGAGAGATAATAAATAAAGACTTTCTTTTCTTCAACTTTGTTGGTTTGTTTATTTTAAACTTCAATTGGATAATTTTTGGGGAGAAAATTGAAAAAAATAACACCAGATATGACTTACCCGCTACTAAAATTTATCCTGCTATCAGCTTGAACAGATTTTCTGTATATGTTTTTGTTTTTGTTATGAGAGAGTGATGAAGTTGAACATTCCTTTGATGATTTGTTATTTATTTTGAATTGTTATCATGTACACAGTACGTAATATATTTCTGGTAAATTTGTGCAATTTGTAAATATGACACATAACATTAGACGTGAATAAAAACAGATATAAGATTCCCTGATGCAGTTTTTTGTAGTTGTTTATTCCACTTACAGTGACCTTGGCCACATCAAGGTGTCCAGCTTTTTATTAATGGAGGAGGCTTGATTTACCTGACGGGAAATACCATCCTTCTGCAGGAAAAACGATCAATCCTTGTCAATTAAGATCAGAATGGAACACACCTTGACCTCAGAGTTGACAGACATTGTAGATAAACTATTCTGACCACTCAGTAACTGAGCCTCCTTGATGTTTTGCCATGTATACTTAAGTTTCTGATTGTTGTTTTTATTGCACCTTATTCAACAGGTAATTAGGAGCCTTTACTATTACCTAGAATCCTAACGGGCATGGTAAAAAGTGAGTAAATTTACATTATTTGTGTAATCAAAACCTTCAATTTTCAACCCAGATCCCTGAAACTTTAGAAAGAGATTACACACACATTGAAATTGTGCACCTCCTTTTATGGAACATCAGCTGCAACTCATAATAGTCATAAATGAAGCTTTTTATGGAGATAATTGAATGAGAAATGCACAACAGTCAATTTAGAACAATAACAGTTAAATCCCTTTGCACATAATTTGTTATTACGAAGAGTTACTGTGTTATCATGTTACAGATACAACTATGTATTTTATTATTTTATTCAAATCTAGATTGCTGTGTAATATCAAGTCAATATCTTTATAACATTTGTGTAGTAGATCAATTTAATAACCAAATAAGGCAATTTTCATTTGTATTTCAGAAATTTATATTTTTAATTGAAATGCTTACCTTGCGTCCGTCATCCGTCCGTCTGTCCAACTCAGTCTGTCATTAGGTGTAAATTTTTTCAAAGATCTTCTCTGAAACCACAGGACCAATTTCTACCAAACTTGGGCTGAATGATCCTTAGGGTATCTAGTATAATGTTTGTGTTTTTTATTCTTGCCCTTCAAGGAACATCATAACCACCATGGCTAAAAATAGCACATAGGGGTAAAAAGCAGTTTTTGGCTTATATCTCAAAATCTTAAGAAGTAAGAGCAAATTTGACAGGTGAAAACTAATCAGCAGGTCAAATGCTATCATTGGAGGAATTTTCAGAAAAATCAAATTCCTCAACTTTTTTCAGAAACTATAATAAATTGTAAAAAGTAAAAAGTAAAAGTGTTCAAAATTAGATCTACAAATAAGTCAAGATGGTCAAAATTGTGTTTGACTGCTTTTAGGAGTTATTACCCTTGAACAATAGTTTTAATCCAATTTTTTTTCAGACACTATTATAGATCAAGAGAAATTGTAATTAGCAAAGACGCTATTCACAATCAGATCTACAAATTAATCAGCATTACCGAAATTGTCATTTGACACCTTTAATGAGTTATTGCCCCTGAATTACCATTTTTACCCATTTTCTGGATTTATTTGCTAAAACAAAGATTGATGGCAAACAACAGTATAAAGCAAAATTGTTCAGCACATTAGGAACTACAAATCAGTCATCCTGTCCAAAATTGTCAACTGACTCCTTATAGAAGTTATTTCAATGATGATTTTTATCCATTTTTGCTTTTTTGTCGAAATATAGGTCTGGGGTTAGAGAAAAATTTAATTAAAGCGAAAAAGACCAGCACAATTAGATCTGCAAGAAAGACAACATGCCAAATTATCACGCTAGTTGTAACCCTAATCCTGACCCTAAAGATTTATTGCCATTAAATTACTTTTTGTATTTCAAAAACTTTAATAGATAGAAATAAACTGTAAACAGTAAAATATGACCATCATTACAAGACCTACAGAAATGCCACAAAAAAATTTAAAATAAAAAACATAACTGATTGTAATAGATCAAACAAATATTTTCAAAATGGCATATTCTTAATTTACCAGGTGAGGATTCAGGCTCTTAGGAGCCTCTTATTCTAGACTGGGAAACTTGGTAATCTTTTCAGCAAAATCTTTCAAAAGAATGGGGACATTTCAAACTTCATACTTCATAGTTAAAAAAAACAGCATGCCAAGATGAAAGAGTGTTGTTTAATTACTGTTGTTCAAATAAATCAGAAAATTAGTAATCATTTATCATAAACGTTTTTGTAAACTATACATGCAATTCTTATACCATACAGAATAAAGTTCTATCTAAAAATTTATTCAGTTAACTTTTAAATGATCTTGGTGTTGACCTTGCTGTAGATTTTGGTGTTCCAACGCGTCCAATGTGTGCAACTTTTTGCTGAATTGATCCCAGGCGAGTTGTAGTTTTCACTAGATCATACGGATATTCAACAGTTATGTCAATCGATTTTAATCTAGTCGACACCATTTTGATCTCGTCCTCCATGGCCTTTGTCTGTATACGAATGGCTGCTAGTTCTTGCACTGCCTGAGTATTACCAGAATTTTCTTGGATGCTGTCCAAGAGCATTTTATAGAAATTCAATGTGTTATTCTTTGTTTTGAATGCCTTTGCTTCCTTTTCGAGTTCTGTTTGTTTTTGTGTATGGAATGCATCGAGTTCTGTGGCCAAATTATCTTCCAATTCATCTAAATGGGTATTGATCTTTTCTCTAAATTCTCGAAGTCTTCCCTGTTCCAATTTCAATTGTTCATCCAGTTTCTTCTTATTTTGCATACGTCCTTGAAATAGTTTCTCCGTTTCAGTTTCTAAAGTGTCTACAGCTTTGCGCAGTCTCATAGTACTAGGGTCCATTTTTATATTGATAGCAACCTGATGTAAAAGTACTACAGTGCAACCTTTATGCATGACCTTTGCACAAATTGGACAACATGGCGTCCATTCCTCTTTGCAGAAATGAGTCATTTCTTCATTATGATGGTATTTACATTTGCGAACGAACTCAAAATTTCCAGGAGTTAGCATCTCTTTAAGTCTGACAACCGGATGTCGGAGTTTAGTTGTTGTTAAATCTTTATGATAGTCGGCATGTTCATCACACAGCGCCTGGGCACAGTAGCCACACCATGAAGAAGCCTTTGCTTCCCTCCCACGTTCCTTACAACGATTACAAGATGGCGAAGACGCACATTTTCTACTCATTAATGTAGAAATTAGTGTACTAGTTGGAAGATTCTCAGCAAATTCTTTAGCAGACATATTCGAAACAGTTGCGGCAGGCATTTCGCAAACCGGACATGAAACGTGCGAAGAAGATTTTGTATCCTTTATTTGTTGAACATAGAACTCTATACAAGCTTCACAGAACGAATGAATGCACGGTAAATGTTTAGGACAACACATGTCCTTCTTGCATAAATGGCATGTTGTAAGATTGAGAATAGACTCGAATGGCGTCTCGGACTTCCTGCTTTGGACAGAAGCAGACGAATGTTGCCTCTTCTTCAGATGTGGTCCTTTTGACGTTGTGAAGATTGAGCTCGACATCTTATCTTGCTGCCCACCTATTTTGAAGCAAATTTGCTGTAATTCTGTCCTCAAAATCTTCCCTTTTTGTTTATTGATATATCAACAATGTGTCAGCATTACTGATATCTACGTAGACAAAACTTTTGCCGTACTGAAATTACTGATCCATATTAAGAGTAACAAATACAAATATTGAATTAGTTCGTTGCCCATGAGTGATATGAGCAAGTGGAATTTAATATTTCGATATTGTTAAAACATTGATACCTTCTTTTTAAATTTTATTTTCTTTTACTTCTTTGTTTCTTTACATATATGATTATCAATATGTGTATTTCTTACATTTAATGGTACGATCAAAATTATGTGAATTTTGATCTTGACCAGACATTAAGTTAACTAAGTACAAAATAGTTCAAAATTATGATGTGTGGTGTTCAAAGCACCTTATTATATTTGTATATAAATCTTATTGTGACTAATGAGAAAATCAGCGATATTATGTAAGCACCAAAAACCTTTCATTTGATGAATAAATCTGATATGTCTTTTTTATGGTGCATGGTTCATGCAGTTTTACATTAAAGATTGAAACATATGGTTAATTTTCCATTTTAGCGTGATCTCCTCGGGTGCAGAGATCGTGGATTTGATTCCCAGCTGTGTCACACCAACGACTTTTAAATTGGTATTTGGTACTTCTCCGCCAAGCACGTGAAAATTTAGAGTAAGAGCAGAATAACGTGGCTCGACTTTGCCTGTAATATTTTCCTCTGAACGTTTGGAATCCAATTATTTTTTGTAATCAAAGTGAATATTTAACGGTATATTTTTTCGCGTGCAAGTTAATATGTGATAGCAATATAAAAGACACAAAACTCGCACCAAGTAACTTTTCTATGCATCGAAGCACATGCTTGAGGTAGCATATTGTTATATAATGGCCTGGAAAAAAGACAAAGCCTAACTTGGCCATTCTATTTTCTATCTACTAAACCACAAGACACTTTAGTTTTGAATCGTTATTTGCCAACTTGGTTCTTTATATATATGACACCCGTTCATCAGATTTAGACATCTATCCCGTACTGTAGAATTGGTAATATGTGGTAGGATTTGGAATACAGCGGTTACTTCCTTTCGATCGATCGCGCTCTCTGGTTTTATGTATATTGTGTATAGAATTCACATTTATCTATTCTTTTAATTTTTAATTCCTATATTTGGAACTGATTTCCAGCACCGTTGACGTATATAGTGCATCAAACTTTAAATTACTTGTCTTCTATATTTCGTAATTTTGTAAAGATATATAACGATCTCTAGAAATAGCTGTTTACCCTTCTGTTGCGACAGACGACATGCAAAGGAGGACAAGTACGTTTAGTTATGCAGGATGCATTAAGCGTTTCGGGTGCATCAGATTCATAAAGTGTCATTTTATTTTCTATAGCACTGGTAGATACAGCTTCTGCATGGCGGACTGCTAGTCGTCCCTGAGGTAATCATCAACTCCGCAGTCATTTCTTTGGTAATGACATGATTTATAAAATACCTTTCTACGTTGATGAATTTAGAAATTATTTAGAAACTAATGTTCCAACTCCCTGGATTTGGCTATTAACTTTTCTCGCATA